GCTCCTAAGCTATGGAATGCGCTGCCCCTTTACATCAGGCACCCCCCCCGTTGGCTATTTTTAAAACTTACTTGAAGACTCATTTGTATGCCTTTGCATTTGATAGGCTATGAGAATGTGTTTGGGCTGTGTTTTGGTTGATAGTATTTTGTTATTTTGCTATGTTGGTTCTTTTATGTTATTTTATTGGTATTTTAATAATGTAGTTGTCATGTTTTTTAGATGTTTTCAATTGTATCTTATGTTAAGCACTTTGTTGGCCTCAGCTGTGTTAAAGTGCTTTATAAATAAAGTTGAGTTGAGTTACCAGTGTTTGTTGGTTTGTTAACAGCATAACTCAAAAGGAATGAACATATATTGATTTTTCTTTTTTTTTTTTTTTTGAGGTAGGGTCAAAATCCATCAGAGTTAAGTGCTGATCTGGATTATCATCTGAATACAGGAATTTAAAAAAAAATCTCCACCATTGTGTTTCTAACTTCATACATAATGCCTAGATGCCTACAATGCTTGGACAAAAATTGCAAGATACCATCCTCATAAGATCAACTACACACCAGAGTCTGATATGGATCCAAGTAACACAAGTACCATTCTGAATCTGCTGATCCAAAATGTTTACATTTTTAGGCCTCACAGAAAACTGGCTATTGTGAGATGACAAATAAAGCTACAGACTTGCAATTAAAATCTAATTGTAGCTGAAATTCTGCTGGCTCATTAGAGGGTCAACAGATTTTATATGAATTCAAAAGTTACTGAGCTAGACCCTGGAGAAAATAACCAGTACTGAAATATAATTTTTCTTGAATGTTTTTCAAACTACTAATGACATTAATGTGTTTCTAAATACTAGGGGTAGGGTTTCATGGTTACTGAATCATATTATGAGCTTCAAACTATCATGGGAATATTACTTTTAGCTTGAACTGCAGGTGTAACTGCACCTGTACTGTTTACATGCTCAGTTGCACATTCATAGTTGCACACCCATTGCTGACTATTGTACATACAGCTTTGATGTAGCATACATTATCTCCTAGTGTTTCCATTATATTTTTACATACTTGTTATTATATTTCTTTTCACTTGCTGTTTAAAGTGTCTTTAGACTGTGTGCTACTGTTTGTCTACTTTGTATTTCACCTGTGTTGTTTGGAACTCAAGTGTAGATGGTAAGAATTTCAAAAATTAAGTAATTAAGTAAGTAAAAGTAAGAATTTCATCATGCAGGGAAACACGCTTCCATACTGTGCATATGACAATAAACATTTTGAGTCTTGAATCTTTGAATGGCATTATGTGGAAACTGAGCCGCTTTTATGGAGGTTTGCACTCTCTGAGTGCCGTGTAGTTTAGTTTTACTTTTTACTATTCAGAAAGTCCTATTTTTAAAGGCAGCATTTCATAGTTTTGATATAAGCATAGCTACCCCCCCAAACTAGAGTTTGAATATTTTGTACAGAATCACAAGTATTTAAAAGTGATTAGGATGTCTCTCATGTTTCCTGAGGCAGTGAAGAAAAAACGTTTTTAGTCTGCCTGTGGGTTTAGACTGGATCACCTGCTGTCACCATTATGTAAAGAACTTGTTACTTGCAGCTAGACACACCGTGACACAGGATATCTGTAAAT